TGAAACAGCATAGCATAATAAGCTTTCCTTGAAATTTTGAGCTTCCCATATGGAATGCCTTTTGCGTAAAACGATTTAAAAAACTCCAATTTTGAGAGAGATTATATGAGCTAATTAGCGCTTTTGCCACTCAGCTTCTTTGAACGCTAATATCTCATAAACTATTGTATGTAAAGACATCAAACTTTCGTAGTTTATAGTTCTTTATTAGTTTTTTTTACATTATGAACTTATTTTACAGTTTTTCAATTTAAACTTTATGCTAATTACCAAAATTTTGTAAAGATCCACCTACATTTTCACTTTTTATACTTTAACTCTTAGTTATGGATTTTACGATTTTCACATAATTGCACTGCTTCCTTAGCCCAGTGGAATAATGTGAACATCCATAAGCTCCCTTAAGGTCCCTTTTCTGCCTTGAAATCATGCCATCTGATTACCTGTGTTTTTTAGCTTTGCAGATCACAACCCCAAGCTAAGGTAAGTTAAATAATTATACACAATGTGGGGCGACGCCATTTTGTATAACAAAGCCTGATGGAAGTTAGAAATAAAAACGGCGCGCGTGTTTCTGCCATCTTATATAAACACGSTGGGAGTTGAAAAACGCGAGAGAAGCAAGCTTAGAAACATGAGCTAAGCGAGTGTTTTTCTTGCTTCTCGAGTGCTTTTCAACTCCCACCGTGTTTATATCAGAGGACAACGACACAGGCGGCCGTTTTATAGTTCTTTTATAAAATTTTTCTGCGTTTTTCAAGCGAAAAACAAATTTTACCAGTAAGCCGTGTCTCTGTCCTCTGATATAAACACGGTCGTCAGCCAGTCAGAGCGCGCGTTTATATATCAAAAATTTTATAAAACCTTTTAAAAATCTCCGTAAAATTTGTTTTTATGCTTTCTTTGTAGAAATCGCTAAATATACATTGTACTTTGATTACTGCAAAGAAAATGCAACAACGATTTAAGTGGAATATTTTAGCGAAATAACAAAATACGAGGAGGTCAACTCCTATCATGCTTTGCTGAACAAAATGGCGTCGCTACAGAATGATTTGTTGTTGTTGTTGCTGTTGTTGTTGTTGTTGTTGTTGTTGTTGTTGTTGCTGTTGTTGTTGTTGTTGTTGCTGTTGTTATTGTTGTTGCTGCTGCTGTTGTTGTTGTTGTTGTTGTTGTTGTTGCTGTTGTTGTTGTTGTTGTTGTTGTTGTTGTTGTTGTTGTTGTTGTTGTTGTTGTTGAAGTTGCCAGTACGGTGGTGATACTGACATGAGTCGATTAAACTCTTCATTGTTTCTCGTAAAGACTGTTCTGTGTTTTTATTACACAGACGATGATTGACAGCTGGTGTGCTGATCTTCTCAAGTCTTGTGAGCAGACTTTATCTGGTGTGATTCTAGAAGAAAACCAAGGTATGAAGAATAGGTCCTTATCAGGGTTCGCGTAACAGTAAAAACCCGCGTATAAGAGGCGTATAACGCGGTTCAGGCTGATTTGGTTCTTATATAAAAATCAGCCTGTAAGTGTTCTTAAAAAAAGTTTCTAAAAATAAGGAACATAATAGGCTACCAATAGATAAAATTGATATAACATTACGTACACCTATTTTCGAAAACGTTGTCATAGAAAATAGAACATTTGTATTTAGTTAAAAGAAATAAATTAAAAGAAGACAAAAGAAGATCACTGAGGCTGAACGCTCTCTTTTGTCTTGTTTTAATTAATTCCGTTTTACTAAATTCAAATGTTCTATAAAATTATGGAGTGTTGGCGGCATTTCTTTGAAGTCCTGTAATAATTATCATTTATTGTATGGCCTTGACTTTTTTTCTTCTTTTTCTTTTTTCTTTTTGTTATTGTTGTTGTTGTTGTTTTGTGTGTGTGTGTGCGCATTTGTCTAAAAGAACTCTGGTTTAGTTCACTCTATTCTCTTGTTTTTAGTTTCAAAAGTCACTGATGAAGTCATTGTGAAGAATTTGTTTACTGTTGGTGAAGTCGCACAGGTAATATATAAACCACTTTTGTGGTTACGTAAGTTTATTTTGTGCTCAAAGTCCGACAATACTTTTAAGGGATATTCTCAAACGRGTTTTGTGTGAAGAGTTAACATTATCCATGTATTCTTCGTTTTTAAGTTACGTCACAGCGGCCATCTTGGAGGAACTTCAACAAAGGATTTCTCATTAGTATCTATTGTTCATTCCTCTAACATGGTCGCCGGTCTTTTATCTTTTGAATCTCATGAGAATGGTTGAAAACAATCAATAGCTAGCGTTGTGCTTTTGTATTACAACAATTGTACATTATACCCTGACATGAGAGCGAGTTAACGAGTTTTTGCGTTAAGAGTCACCTTGTAGCGAGTTAACCATTACCCATAAATCCTTGCTCTAATTTCAGCTCGCTCCAGGACGAACTACAGAACGTCTGTTCCTGCTTGTCGAGTCAATGTTGATCTCAGAAGCCAGTCTCAGTACGCCTGGTACTCCTCAGAGCATCCAGAAGAGTCAACTATCAAATACTGTTAAAGCTCATGCCTTCGTTACTCTAGGTATGCTGGTATAGGCAATAGAGGGACGCCATTTTGTATGGCAAAGAATGGTGGGAAGCTGTTTTTGCTTTTTCTATAAAACAATAAAAGTAGCTGTGTCGTTTATAGAACGAAGATAAAACATAAAATACGGGTTCTAGGGAGATTKTTTAGAGGCTATAAAAGTGCGAAGCCTGCAACTCTTTCACTAGAATACTACAATACAAACACTGAAGCAATGAAAAACTTTAGTTATTAATTACATATTGCCTTGTTGTACCGAATTATGTGAATTCATTTTTTTCTATTTTCTAATCTACACTATTTGGTTAGTACTTTTTCATGATTTTTGTATAATAGTCTTCTTCACGGTTCCCTGAGCCATCTTGAAAGGTAGCCGTGCCTTTACATCGAAGCGAGATGACCGTTGAGCGTGCAATGATAGAAACCTTCTTTCGCACCTACAGGCAATTATTCACAGGTATTTATCATTGCACGCTCTACGGTTGTCTCGCTTCGATGTAAAGGCACGGCTACCTTTCAAGATGGCGAAGGGAAACGTGAAGAAGACTTTTGCACTATCGTTTAATTGTGAACTATCTCTTGCAATTTTACAGGAAAGCTGTGTCTACAGAACGAACACTTGGCCAAGAAATGCACGGCAGCTTTAGCCCGCGAACTTGAAGTATCTAATGATGCAGCCATCAGGAACAATGTGATCGTTGTGATGTGCGATCTTTGTGTACGGTACACAAGTCTTGTTGACCGTTTCATTCCTAACATTGCTACGTGTCTGAGAGACAGTGCCCCCCTGGTTCGAAGACAGACACTGACTCTTCTTACCCACTTACTGCAGGTGAGCAGGGGGGCATTGGATTTTTCGTCTACTACTAATCGAAGTTGAAGCAAAGTTTTCTTGGACGTCATATTGGCATGATTTCAATCCACCTTAATAGTTTAGGCCCACCTTTGAATTACAGTGGATCCTCTATTAAGCGRTCACMTTGAGGAAAGACCAAGTGACCGGTTAATGGAGGCTGACTCTTTAATAGAGGTCACGTTTACGGTAAATGTATTTGTGAATCGACTTTCTGGAGTGACAACTTAATAGAGGGTGGCCGCTAAATAGGGGGTCGTTTAATGGAGGTTGATTGTAGCGCTCAGTCAACAGAAGTGCTAAAAAAGTCAATGTTTATTAATGCTACGATATCTTAAAGGGCATGGTTGACCGGCTTCACTTACGAGATTTTGGCTGTTTGAAACTTAAAATACATCGTAATATAAGCAAAAAATTACTCTATCTTCTTCTATATACTAAATGTATGGAGAAATTGTAAGAATCGACCTTAAAACTGACGGATGGAAATAGATTGTGA